TTGCATAGTGTTGCAACCTGTAATGTGAAGATGTGCATGCAATTGCGGAGGTTATCAGAACTTCGGTCTGGTCAAACCAAAGATTTTAAAATTGTTTTTGCTGCTTCTCTACAAGCACGCGGCATTAATAAGTAAAAGCAGAGACTGGTCGGCTCGGAGTCAAAATATTGAATCCGCGTAGGATAACATGTCTTCCTGTGAAATATAACATCACGAACTAGCACGTCCGGCTCAGCGCGTTGGTCTTATCCAAAGCAGGGTTAATATTTCATATTACAATAACATGTTCTCGTCCTGAATATGCATTTTATTTGCCACTGGACATTATACAGCCATCCATCATTACCATCTCAGGCACAACCTTGCATAAAAGAGTGATTTTGCGGTCGTATAATGGTAAGACGTTTGTCACAATAACTTGAGTATACATGTAAGTGTATGGATCGTTATGAAATTGTACCACAAAGTTTCATACCGCATAAGGGAGGTTGGAAGGATTTGTGGGTTATTGTCCCAACTTTGTAGGAATTAAGGACCAAAAACAAGCATTTTTCTTGTTTCAGGACAATAACTTAATTATAAATGTATGGATTTCAATGAATTTGTACCACAAGGTTCCATACTTCATAAGGAATGTTGTGACAGATTTTGGGGGTTATGGTCCAAAACGTTAAAAAATCGGTAATAAAAACTAGGATTTTCTGGTTTCCGGACAATAACTTAAGTATAAGTCTAAAATGAAATGTTTTAGGAAAAAGGACTTAAAACAATACTTTTCATACGTTTTTCGTTTCTTGACCAATTCCAATGGGGTTTCATTCAAAGTCTTGGGTTTTTTTATATGCAGAATCTCACCGTGTATTAATAAATTCTTTTTTTGGGGTCCGTTTTAAATTTGGTCCACATGAAATAAAATAGATTATTAGGGTTCTTTGCTTTGATGAATCTAACAGTGTATTTAGATTTTTTATTTTGGGCCCGGTTTTCAAATTGGTCCACAATAAGGAACAAAGCGTTCATAATCAATTTTAGTTTGATTTTAACAAAAAAAAAATTCAAGGGGTCTTTTAATTGCTTAATCTACGCGTGTATTTGTATGTTGTATATAATTACGCAGATATCATCGAGTGCAAAATAACACTCCTTATCGCTTGTTATATATTAATTTCATCAATAAATATTCATGAAAATAATTTTATGAACATAGATAAATGATATGAAAAAGTTTTGTCGTGAGAAATATATATATCAATAACAAATCAAGAATACCGAAAATTTGTGTTAACGCATGCGGAAGAATATCTCAAGAACGTTTTGCAACAACGCGGGAAAGTATGAATGCCTACTCAAATCCAATCTATTAGAAAAAACGAATTATTACAGAAGAGTGTCCACCGTGCACTTGCACTGCACTATCATTAGAATAGTAGAATAGAATGACATACAAATGGATGAAAATTATATAAAACTCTTATACAAATATTAATATAATATATAACACCAAACCAGAGTATACTGATAACAAATTATTATATCACTACAATATAATTACTACTAGTAGATCAAATTCTTGGTACTGAATCTAACCTTATACAAATGTATTTAGATTTTGGATATTGGACCACATTTTGTACGTTTTGTACGAGCCTGTAGTACAGTGGTTGTCGTTGGTTCTTGTCTGTTATATTTGTTTTTCGTTAGTTGTTTTGTTTAAAATTAGGCCGTTAGTTTTCTCAACCGAATTGTTTCATATTTTTCATGTTGAGGCCTTTTGTAGCCTATTATACGGTATGGTGTTTTTCTCATTTTTGAAGGCCTAACGGTTACCTATCATTACGTACATCAACTTTATTTGAACCTTGGTAGATAGTTGTCTCATTGGCAATTATAATTCATCTCCTTATTTTATAAAAGTCCAATTTCAAATTTTTCTGATCTTACGCCACCTTTATTCTGTGTCAGAAACCTATGCTGTGTCAAATATTTAATCAAAATTCAAATTCAGAGCTGTGTCAAGCTTGAATTGAGTGTCCATACTTGTCCCAACTGTTCATGGTTCGACATCTGCGGTCGTATCATTCTGCGCCCCGCTGAGCATTTTGTTTATATTTGCAATTCATTCGATATGTAATTTAACTGCAAAAGCCACCAAGGGACGGTGGTGCATGGCAAAGTGGGAGTTAGACGCACATTGTATACATTCTAGTATTTATAATTTGATTAAAATACCTCGTATCTGATGAAGAGGGGTTACTATACACTGTAATTTGACTCCAGGCGGCACCAAGGGAACATGTCATGCACAATTTAATTGTGAAACTTGTCCGAGATAGATATAAAGCTAAGACGAGGTCCATATTCGCTCCCGTATATATTTGCTGTCCCAATGTTCTTAACACGTATCTACTGTACAAAAAGAACGCATTAAATAATTGTAAATAATTTTATAAAAGGAAGACTAATAGCCAATTTACCCCTGTATTTTATTCACACCATGGCCATTTTTAGCTCACCTGGCCCAATGGGCCAAGTGAGCTTTCTCATCACTTGGCGTCCTTCGTCGTCGTCGTCGTCCGTCGTCCGTCGTTGTCCGTTTACCTTTTCAAAAATCGTCTCCTCTTAAACTACTTGGACAAATTTGAACTAACTTGGCCACAATCATTTTTGGGGTATCTAGTTTGACAAATGTGTCCGAAGACTAAAATAGAACGTTGGGTAAAAATGCAAGTTTTGTCTATTATTTCGAAAACCATTATGAATACAAAAAATCTGACATGAGCAAAAATGTTCAGAATGTTGAGCTCTAGATCTGTTGTCCATACATTTCAAAATTGTCAGACGACTTCTTATAGGAGTTATTGCCCTTTAATGAAAAAGTTTTCCATTTTCTTTTCATTTTTGCCTATTATCTTGAAAACTATAATAGATACAGAGAAACATTAAAATGCAAAAAATGATCATCAAGACAAGTTCTACAAATAAGTTCAATTGTCGAAATCGTCAGCCGACTCATATTAGAGTTATTGCCCTTGGATGATGATTTTTACCATTTTTTTGCGTTTTTGCCATACAAATGTGTATCTTAAAAATTATAATAGATAGATAGAAACTTTATTAAGCAAAAATGATCGATAATGCAAGATCAACTAACAAGTCACTTTCATACCCTCTTTTGTCTTTTGAGCAAAAACTAGAGAAGATAGAGAAAAACTAAGCAGACTAAATGATCAGCAATACAAGACCAACAAGCCAGAAATGTTTGTCATGAATTTTATTCTCGTCTTCTCTGTTGGAGAGTGTACTTTGTTGAATATGCACATAGACCTAGGTGAGCGACACAGGCTCTTAAGAGCCTCTAGTTAAAAAGCATATCAATTTTTAACTAAATTCTTAGTACACGTATCGCAACCCAATGTATGTTCTCTATTGTCTGGGTTGGTACATTTATGATTATCAGTTGTTTATTTTTTTAATTTGTATTTCCCAAATAGTAAGTTATTTACATACAATATTTCTTATCTCTTTCTTGGTATTAAAGTAATTTTTATTTCACAGCTGCGTAGTGGTAATGCAAAATCATGTTAGTCCCAGCACATTTTATTTGTACATTAAATAGAAGAAAATCAATATTCGTTTGCCTAATATTCTCTCTTTTCGGCATTTACTGGACAGTCGATAAAGATAATACAAGGTAAAACACACCTTTATTGTGTTAGATAATACATGCAAATGTTCATACATGATCTTATAAATGATATATGCAATCACAGTGTAGTCTTGGCCACATGATTACGAGATCAGATTCATGGAGTTTCTAAAGTACTTATTAGTCTATATTGTACTTATCTGCTGTCCCCGTGATCATGAACGAACATTGCGAGCACGGTGCGTCGACAAGATAAGTGTCTCTCCTGATGCAAGCATCACCGGCAATGAAAATTCACACTCCTTTAAAAAGGTCAAACTCGTAAATTTGACACCGGTGGTAACATTTACAGATAGATCGTATCGGTCAACAAATCTAAAATTTCGACAGTTAAACTTACGCAATGTCGATTTTAGCAGTTATTTCTCGTAACTTTGTTCAAACAGATTGTATACAAGGAGGACACCCCTGCTTATCAGAAAAAAATAAAGGAGATAAGGTATGATTGCCATTGAGAGAACTATCAACTAAAGTTCAAATGAAGTGGATGTTAGAAATTATAGGCAACCGTACGGCCTTCAACAATGAGGAAAAAGCATTCCGTAAAGTGAGAGCATCAATTGAAATACATTTACGCTATACAATGGAACACAAGTTATGTAACGATTGAGAAATGACATTTTGAAATGATTCAATGATGCTATTTGAAAGTTTTTGCTTATTTTCACCAACTTTAAGTCAAAAATACAAAAACATAAAATTTGATTTCCATATGTTTTATATACATCAGAAATATATATTTTTGTAGATTGAGCATACGTTTTCAGTTATGAATTAAATGGCCACATAGTGGTCTAATCATACCATCTCCTTTGCAGATAAGATATTATTTGAAATTATAAGGAATGTATTATTGTTATATATAGCTCTTAAATTCTGTCATTTTCAGTAAGTCAAAATATTAGGTTTTTGACCTCCAAACATTTAAGCCTCGAACGTCAATGAAGAGACATTACTTTTCCCCAATTCGCATTTGATGCATTTAAATTGGTACTTTGAAAGTCAAAATACCAAGAATTTCCTAATCAATGTCTCGTTAATGTACCGAAACTGTTTTCAATTATAAGGCAGGAAATACAATTGTGTCTGTACTTACAAATTGACCTTTTCGTTAGTTTGGTATATTGAAAATATACGTTTTACGGGTTTTAAAACTGAAATATTAAAAACGCCATATCATTTATTTATATTGGTAATCATATTGTTATTTCACATTGATACTTTAACTTAGAAAACCTTATGAAAGGGCAATATATTAAGAAGAATATATCTATTTGTGAAACTATTATTTCTCGAACATTTAATGTTGCACTGTAAAGGATTAACTTACACATACTCTCGATAAATACAATAAGACTGGAGAATAGTGACAAAATAAACAAAAATACATTTAAGCTTCGAAGTATTATTTAACAGAAAAATATGTTGAGTCAGACATTTAAACTTTACTTTATTGCTTCAGTGACAAATTAATGTATTCTACTGTATTCTTTTTAGTATGACCGTTTGACTGTGGGAAATCGTCGTCTGTTTCGTAGTTTTCAACATAATTCAGTTTCATATTTTCTTGGCCATCATTTGCGTTAGAGTTGCTTATTGTTTCATCCAATGAAGAATTTTGTTCTGTGAATTCAAAGAAATGACCACAAGCTGCATGCACAAAAGGAGATACTTTGAACTTTCGGGGTATCTTTTGTAATAAGATAAACATGATTGTCTTCAGCTTCAATGTTTTCCACCAGTGTCGTGTATGGTTTCTCATATCCATCGTCTAAACTTTCTGCAGCATTGGTGTCATTTTCCGATGCTGTTGAAGAATGTTCATCGAACACAGATATTAAGTTTCTACTAGCAGCAACCATTCTATCGGCCGTTGAAATAATAGAGATGTTATTTCCTGAAATTAGTAACATCATATTTTTTTTTTCATTTCACACAAAAATAAAACATATATTTTTTCTCAATCTAATGTCGAGGATACGATTGCATCATTATGTTAAAACATTCATACCACAGTTTAAGTCTTTTTAATATTTGAATAATAATGAACTGTGTTTGTGTGTTTTCAATATGTCATGATATAGATGAAAAATTATATATCAGTAAAATTCTAATTTATAATGCTTATCTGTACATAATGAATCAAGTGATTTAAAACAGAAACAGGAATACATATTCATCCATGACTGTGTTGATTTTTTTTATTAAATACGTTTGTATAATTAATTCTGAAGAAGATGTAACCGTGAGTATTCTAATAATAACGTTATTTTTGTCTTTATTATCTGAATTTCATTGCATGTTTTTTATAGTACGTTTGATGAGTCTATATATTGAAAATGAATAGGGGGCTCCAAAATACAGCTTAATATATGGAGTATATATCTCCCTGTTGATATTAATTTTAAAATTTTCTATCAGAATGTCCTTGATAGAGGGTTGGTGCTCACAAGGAAACTAATTAACCAAGATATCCAAGTGATAAATTTAACGTCGTCCAATTAAAAGTTTTACAGACACCATCACGAGTTGCTTGACCGTTATGGAATTTGCCACGAATGTTCCAGATATTGCTACCATAACCCTATCTGCTTTTCATTGTTTGTAACATCACTGAAATTGTACTTACCATAATCAACATGACGAATGACAGTAGTGGAGCAGGATTTGCTTATCCTTCCGGAGTACCTGAGATATTTTGTCGACCTACTTGTCCTGTCAGTTTCGCTTCGAATTACGCGTTCTGAATGTCTTTTTGGTATCGTCTGCTTGTTATACATTTAACCCCTGCGCATATTCATGTGGCTAAACAAAATCTGGCAACCTCGACGATTGTTGTATGATTTCGTGTTGATGGCAGACATTTGATTGTTTCAGTTTATTAATTTCAAAACTACTAGAGACTCAAAACAATTTAGAGCATATTGTAAAAACACAATTATTGTCATATATCTTTCAAATTTGTTTCACTTGTTTGCCCCATAAATGTTAATGATCAGCAAAGGTTGCAATTCACAAATATATCTTACAAAATCTGTAATGTGGCAAATGGTTCACCAACATATCTTATAATGGAACAACTGAACACGCGATATGTTATATTTTGTTTTGTCTAATTTGTCCCATCTCGTACCTTGCGATGGTGTCCGTATGTTATCATCTTCAATAATTTCTGCATAATGAGCGCTTTCCTCACCATTCCGTTCAGGTGTTTGAATATTAACTGCAGTTATCATCCTAAAATTATTGATTCTATTTGGAAACAGTTACAAAATATATGTCTAAAGAGTCAAGGAAAGGTTTGGATTATATAGTTTGCCTGTATCTTCTCATCGTAAATGAATAAAATTAAATGATCTTGTATTACTCTAGATTTACAACCAAGTTAATGGGGACTTCAAATATTTTTAATACAAAGCAACTGACTTTGTCTACAAGAAGAACACATTGCCTCTTAAATCTCAATACATATAAACCCTGCCAAAAAAGTAAAAGACATTAACATGAAATTGCATGGAAAATAGAGAAACATAATTTGAAAGCCTTTTTTCTTTGATTTTGTTGATGCGTATCTTTCTTCGTATTAGGGTTTTTGATTGACATAATCGCCTTATTCCCCTTGTTCATGTTACTCATGTCTAAGATAAACTAATATTTAAAAGTAGCCAAATTTAAAGCGTGCACTTAAAGTCTTACAACATGTTCTGTGATAGAATGTGTTCTCCATTACAAATAAAATGTCGTTTTCATATTTTGATTCTGGTTAAAGGATTGATATCCCTCTGTTTTCGTAAGTAGCATTTTATTTTGGTGGTTTATTACATTTAATCGGATGAACATAAGCTTTCGTAATATTAAGCAATTTGAGACATATAACCAAACATTGATTGTCTGATGGTGTGTTATTGCGACATTAGTATATTGACCCTTTCTCTAAAATAGGGATGGGAATGTATTTGATATATAAGACACTGGACTAACCTCTGTTTGTATCTCTTTTTCAGGTACCCTAGAATTATAAGAAAATTACATTGCACACACTCCGTGTACGAATAAACAAAAATGCAAAATTTGCTTAAATAAGTATAGCATATGGAACAAAGTATCAAATCATTTGCCTAAACCATGACCGGCAATTAACTTAAGAAAAACCCGAGTTATCATTTTATCATTGTTCAAATATATTTTATAGTCATACATGTACATTTAATCACAGAGCCTTAAAGTTAACTACCTTCCCGCATGTAGGGATGATATAATGTCAGAGATATGGCATACTTCTTTTTCCTTTTTATTCGCTTTTGTTTCAAAATAAAACGCATATAATAATATCAGTCTTCTCTGTACAAAAGAAGGACTTGTTTGTATGTTTGTTAAACCCTCAAAGCATTAGTCATCGTAATATATATCTAAACATATACTGTGTACTTACGAAAATATATTCCCATCCCAGCCACTAGGATTACAATAAGTATCAGTAATGCTAAAATGAGGATGCCTTGGGAGGACACTGTTTTTTCTTCTGATGAATAACTCACTGAAATGCATATTTTAGAATATTCAAAACAAACATATAACGCAAAACTGTACTGAACTTCTATTAACTGAAATAAATGCATCTATGGATAATCATAAGTTCAGTTGTATATGAAAAATATCATACATCATCATAGCAAAGACGTTCATTTTTTTATTAATTGGATTGAAAAACATCTATCGTTAACATGTCCTTCAATGCATTAAGGTTGAATAACTCTATAACATATTTTGTTTTATATATTCGTGAATTGTTCGGCAAACATTCCATTCAAGGAATGATACAAATCTACATAAAAATTGATAACAGGCTATGCATTTTCGACATATAATGAAATTAGACAGATGGCAAAACGATAAAATAAACGACCAATAGGTCTACTGTTTCCAGAATGGTGTTTTATCGTCAAAACTATTGAGTATTGGAAAATGAACGCAACTTGTTTTATTCGCTATAAATTGATTTGAAATGGAACTTTTAACAGGTCGGTTTTGTATATTTATTGACTGCTGTATTATATTATTTACTTCTCATTTATACACGAGCAACAAGACTGGTGACACATGTGGAACAGAGTATACTTACCTCCCGGCGCACCTGATATCAACCAATTTTTTTTGTTGAATTTGTATTGCTCCTTCATTAGTTTATTATGTTGTGTTTTGTAAACTATTGTGTCTGTTTTGTCGTTATTTTGTCTTCTTTTTTTGCCATGGCATTGTCAATTTGTCGTCAACTTATGAGCTTGAGCATCTTTTTATTTACTGCCGCCTTTTATAGGTCTTCAACTTAAGGTTTGAATTAGTTTGATTTTTTTTGTTGTACCCTGTCTTTCTTTTGTGGCGTATAATTTGGTCTTTTAACAAGCCTTGAAACCGTTTTTTTGGGATTACAATTTGTTTGTTCCAATACAGAAATGTCTTAGTAGTATCCAGAATATTGCTTGAAGTTAAGTGTTTATACATTTGTTTAAAAAGGTAATGCCCTCGTTTAAACTCTATACGTAAATTTAAGGTGTTTGCGAATTCCAAAGTTCGTTTGTTTCTTCCATTTACGTTTTGTAGAGGAGAAAACCGGCGTTGTTATATTTTGTGCAAAATTAAATACCTTCTCATGATTGAAATGATATAGTTTATGTTTCATAATTTCAAACAGAGAGGCGAAAGATACCAAAGGGACATTCAAACTCATACGTCGAAAATAAACCGACAACGCCAACAAAAACACACATTAGTAAATCAACAATATCGCATGAAAGCGGTTCACCCATTGGCACACAGCCTACTTTTGCCTTAAAATCCAAGTATTGAATGTAGACTCGAGGCTGAAATTTGGTTCCAATGTGTATCATTTGAGGGGCATATTATCGCCACGTACGAAATCCATATGCGGCCATTCAGTAAGACTTACTTAGTCTGAAGCAGAACCTGTCGTTTATAATATATAACTGTATGAAAAGCGCTGTGTTCCAATTAATTAAGGTATTTTTTTTATTTTTAAAATTACATCCGATAGTATGACATCGTTGCTAGAAACAATAAGTCTCTGTTAAAATTCAATGGAGACTATATATGGCTACGGAAATTATTGAAGAACAATTGTAACTTTCACAATTCGAAAAATAATCAAGAGTCGACAAAACAAAAACAAATTAAAAAAACAAACAATTTGTTTAAAAAATGGCTTTACCAAATTGTATGTTTCTATTTCCTAGTCTTACTTCATAGACTCAATATGAGATAAATAGATCATTACACGCCAATGGTCATGTGGTCCCATGTTTTATTCCTTGCGCAGTTTTTGAGACTTTAGACCAAAGGCCTCGGTTCGATATTAACTTGTTGGTTTGATACAATGTTCGATAGGGAAAATGCATGTAATAATATATAAATATTATAAATAATGCATCTAACATTTATTGATGTGTATTATTTCGTGTAAGATTGCTTGAAATACATACAATTATGGAAACAATCTGATGTAGAATGTATTTTAATCTAAATGCATGTATTACCGTGCTTAGCTGTCCATTTACCTTTAGATATTGATGTCATAGATGTTCGTGTCTAATTACTCAATTAAGCAGACAACCAATGTCAAACGCCCGGGGGAATCGCATACTCTCTAAAAGATCCGAAACAGGATGCGTCGACAGAGTAAGCATCTCAGTCTATAAAATTACAGATCAGACGACTATCCTAGTGTTTCCAGATCTAAGACTGCGAAAAAGCTAGTGAGTTTAGACACTGACATATCGTACTGGTCAACCAATTCATAAAAGTGACTTTAAGTTATTTAGTGTCTATTTCAGTCGTTCTTCCTTCTTACTTTGTTAAAGCAGTTTTAGTGAGAAGAAAATAATTCTGAACGTGGGGTATCAATTGAGCTACGTAAATGCCATACGATGGAGAAAAGTATTTAATAGTTACGTTTGATCTTATATTTATTCATTTAATGTAATTTTACCTTATTAACATACCGTATTGTTGCAAGTCGACATAAACACTGCTTTGTCCATAGCGGTTGCACACAGTTACATTGAATTTACGACATCCAAACGAATAAAGTCCATGTAACACAAAAGTAATTTCTATACCATTCACTGTCACGATTGCATCATGAAAACTCTCCTTGATAAGTATATGCTTCATTCTAACTTCCATATTTTGTAATCGAACTAACTTACCACCGATTTCTGTTATATGGTGACATATTATCTCCGACGGACTGTACACTTTTACTTTTATTTCAACTTTTGATTCTTTGTTATTATCTGGAATTCGTCTATTGTCGCCAGAAAATACAGGAGGGCCTAATATGAAAAAAAAAAAAACAAAAACGGAAAAAAATACAAGAACAGCTAGACAGTTATTTTGCATTTTGAACCATCACCCATCACCTTTTTCAAATGCATTTTAATGATACTAATATTAAAGAACAAGGAACACGAATGAGCTAGTCTTTATTTTATAGAAATGCTCTTGATTTAACAGCATGTCAAAGTTTCACGTACTAATTGTTTTGAACATCTGGACCCATAAAAGCTGTGCATTTGATTTAACGTTACGTATACGTTTCGTCGTGGTTGTACACATAGCCATCATGTACATGTAAAACAACCTCCGTTGGCTAGAGTCATGTTACAGTATTTTACAGCCAACGAAATGAAACTAGGTATTTTCAATAAATATTCGCAATTAATTCAACTATGTTGTACGGTGAATTTAGGCGAGAGTAGGTATGTTTAAAATTTACAAATCTCACGAATATATTTAGAAAACAAACCAAGGCAACAATATAAAACTTAGATAATCGCTCAGATAAACTACCGGGTGCGTTTTCAGCCTAATTGGTAGTGACATGAACACATATTGGAATCAATATAAAATTTATAGCTAAAAAGTACGAACAAAATAAAAATTGTAATGTCTAACGATTTTACTTAGATTTGTTTCAATCTTGAAAGTCATATTTACTTTCAAGAGCGTAATAATGCAGTCATTCCCTCAAAATTTATCACGATAAATCAATACACCATTTAAAAAAATTGTCTACTATGTAACTCCGTAGTTGAGATAACATATATATCTTCTTTGACGCCTATCAAAATATCCGTTTATTCATACTTATTAATTTTGTCATTTGTTTTTCCACTCACTTAGGTATAGTTTATTTAATATGGAGATTTGAATACTCACATTACTAGTTTTTTGTTGATTCTTCATTTTAAGATATCTCTGTATCACATTAATTAATTGACGAAGATGAATTATGCAATCACTAATATTCGCAATATATTATGAACAGGTAAAGCTATTCTTAGTACAAACATCAAATATTTCAAAGTATACCTGTAGATACAAGGTAGTACGCTCTACCAAGTTGAAAAACGTTTCCACGATAATCAGGAATTCCGTTTGAAACATTGCATATGTAAAACCCTGTATCTTGGTAAATATTTGATACGTTCATCTCTGGGAGTCGAAGAATTCCATCATCTGTCTCGTCTAAATATCTTATATGTTCGTTAAAGAAGGATTGGTGTTCCCACGTAAAGTAATTATAAGTGTTTGGTTCCCCTTGAGCAAGACATCGAATTTCTCTATTGCTGCTATATTCAGTCAAATTTATGTACCGTAGACTTATGACAGGAGGATCTATAAATAGAATTAAAACAAATTTAAATGATCTTGAAGATTTTACTTGCATCGTGTTTGATAAATGAGTAAAATATGGCGGATCAATAATTATTTGTTAGCCAGCAAATATTCGAAATTTAGACAAGAAAAAAACACTTGAAGGTTGTTGTGCAATCATCATCAGCACGCACAAATTTCTGAAAATTTTGAAGAAATGTATCTTGAAGTAAAGTTCTTACATGAAATAATAAGCGATATCTCACTAGATGCATCACCAATATCGTTCTGAGAACTGCATGTGTAGTTGCCAGTGTCATGCCGACTAACATTTCTCATCTGATAGCACAATGAAGAAATATTAAATGCTGAAACTAGTTCTTTATCTTCCTTACGCCAGGATATTGATGTCGATTTCGGATTGCTACATGATTTGCAACAAATATGTGCCGTTTCACCTTCAACCATATTTAAAGTGCTGCTAGCATTTGTTTTAATCGACGGCTTGTCTGAAAAGCAATTTTGCATATATATGTAATAAAATCGGAAGAGAAATATTACGAACAAACATTAGTACTTCATTCAAATGTCAATCTTCCAAAATTAAACACATTGTGAATATGCCTTTAGTCTAAAGGGAACTTAAGGAGTACCACCAGTGTGTCATTAATAAGATGAAATTTACATTTCATATCATGACTCAGTTGCTACGATACTGTTAAAAACTTCATTACTTTTAGATTTACTTAATAGTTCAGTGTTCATCTACTAAATGATCTATATCATATCAAATTGTATTAAGATACGCTTTTAAGAAGAGCAGCAGCTTTTCATAAAAGGTACGTCATTATATAATTGATTTTTCATCGGATTTCATATGTTCAAGTAAGTTTACGTCTTACTTCATACTCAAATGCAACGTGACAGATGCAATCATATCATACATGTATTATGTTATGATCCGTCTCTGGTCGTATAGTAGCCTCTGACAAAAGAGGTATATATTAGCGTATTCTATTAATTCCACTGCTTTGAACTAGAGTTAAGCCCAAATTCAGATGTCAGATATTTATTGTTTTGCATTTACCAAATAATATATATGCATTCATTAGTTTGTAGTACCCTGCAATGAAAGTTGATCACTCTGACTTTTACACTTCATTTAATATTGCATCTCATGTCCGTGATTTTAAATATTGAAACAGATATACGACATCAAACTAGAACATATAGATTCTATCATTATTTCACTTTTTTTAAGGAACACACCCTTGTTAATAAAGTCTGAATAATGTGAACATGCACGATGTGAACCTTCCATTGCTTACCCGTGAAATACCATCTGCCCCATCGAATGGCGTTTATACCTCTCAGTTAATGCATTACGTTCGTGCATGTTCACATTATTCAGACTTTCTTAACAAGGGTGTGTTCCTTATTCCTAAACTGTTCCAACAGAGTAAGGGGACGGAACGACTGAAAACCAAGCTGCAAAAGTTTTACGGTCACCATCAAGAACTTGTTAATCGATACGAAGTGTTGGTGTCTCTAATCACTAGCGACATTTTTCAACAATTGTAGATCTTTAGATACTAGTAAAGTCGTCTGGTTTATTATTTTACGGGTTGTGCCCTATTCCCGAATATCACATTTTGACTGAGTGTCAATTCGCATGGCGGGTGATGCATGTATAGTATGAGAAGATATATCCTGTAAAAGCACGCTGTTTTGGGGGGGTGCGACTCACTCAGGTTTTGTTTTTACCTTGATGGCTTTTCATGGAAAGGCACTAAGAAAATTGCAATTCGAGAAAAAGCATAATGGAGCCATAAAGATTCAATGAGGAAAAGCAATGGGAACCCATTCAGAGAAATTTACATGCAAACAGACAATATGAAGAAAATTCCTTCCGAATTTACCAATTGAAGTGATTCTTTTTCAAAGAAATTTAAGGTAATTGTAAGTATTTTCCAGTACAGACAACTAACAAGTGAACGATCTAGTAAATGGAACTGTTATTTTCACTTGTCCGTAAAATTTACAGCATTACTGTTGATAATGTTTACAGATATTTCAAATCAAAATTATTTTATTTACTTTAAGTATAAAAGTAGTATTCTCACATTTAATATTTAGATGAATCGACTTGGTAAGCGGTTTTTCCATGTCTGCATTTTGTGCTTCGCATGTATAAACAGATTGGTGATCTGATTTATTCGGAGATAATGAAAATACAAGTTTACTTGGTCCTCCTTGGCTTATTAGGATTCCATTCTTTTTCCATCTAAGTATTTCTGGTGGTTTCCCTCTTTTCACCAAACAGACAAGGTTCAGTGGATAATTTTCTTTTCCATTTACAATATTTTCATGAGTTACATTTAGAATTTCCAATTTTGATGGAAGCACTGAAATTTAAATATATATCACGAAAAAAGTGTAGCAGCAACTTAACAAAATTAACAAAGTTTGAATATAATCATAAACGAATCACCTGATCATACTGTTATATGTTTCAAATATATGTATAAGCCAACCCAAAAATAGAATTATTAGCTCAGTTATGATTTCGCGCTTCATACAACATGTGATTTGTTACTTGCTTTCATTTCGAATAAATTAAAAAAAAAATAAAAACACTTTTGATTCTATGATGTCACATGTACCATGTTAACTTATACATGTGTTTCTAGTCTTTGTTGTCAAACAGAAACAAGCCCAAACTATCCCCATGGACAACAATGCCCAGTGTATGATAACTATTAATCAATTAAGATGTTTCGTATATAGATTCATACTATGTTGTATCATTTTATGGGTTTATGATACCCATGTACCGTTAAAGACTATAGTTTTATCACAATTAAAACCAGTCTAACACTTTAAATTAACCAAATACTTGATACCTGCCTATATTATTAATACATATCTACTTACATTTATTTTGAAGAAGGTATGAACTTTGTGGCATTGGACAATATTCCTTAAGGTCACATATGTATGGACCTTCGTCGGAGGTAGACAAGTTTGTTATATGAAGATCAAAGTTGTCACCAATTACACTTAGTCTTTTGAAAATTTTCTCTGGCAGCGTATGTGTAACTTTACCGCCATACATATAAATGGTTACATTCCACACTTTCGTGTTGCCATATATATCAGATATCAAAACTGGGGATGTTCCAATTCCAATATTTTCCACTACAGGCCCATTCCAGAATGAAACTTTGCAATTGCATGTTAGAGTTATTGCTTGACCAGTTGAAAAGTATGTTACATTATACTCCACCTTCTTCATTTCTGCTAAATAATAGGAATACAAGAAATTGAGTTTGCAAATGGTTGTTTGTAGAACCTTTTACAACAATTGAATATTTTTAGTTTTATAAGATATTATTGAGATATGTATTTGAACTGTCTGATTCTTGAATCATGCATGAATTGTTCATTAAAATTATCAACAACTTGTTCATTCTAAGATTGAAATATTTTGGCAAACCAATGTTTGTTTGAAAGATTTCCCTGCCTGGACATAATGATAATTGATTCAGTATGGGTTGATTTCGTCCTTTGTTTTATAATACAAACATGGTCATAGTAGGCAATTGGAAACACGCACTTATCTGGGCAATTAGAAACTTGCACTTATCTGGGTAATAAGATACAAGCATTTAACTGGGCAATTGGAAACAAACACTTATCTGGGAAATAGGATACAAGCACGTATCTGGGTAATTGGAACCGAGCACTTATCTGGGCAATTGAATACAAGCATGTATCTGTGCAATTGAATACAAGCACTCATCTCTGCAAATATATACAAACAATTATCTTGGCAAATGGATACAAGCCCTTATCAGGGCAATTGGATACTATTAGTTACATAGTGTGCTAGTGACCTAATACGATATGTATGGGGTGAGTAAATTCCATATGGGGTGAGAGAAGCTCGAACGATATATATGGGCTGAGAGCGAAGCTCGAATCCCGATATGGAATTTTCTGACCCCATATATATCGTATTAGGTCACTAGCACAGTATGTAACGAATTTATCTTACCGACTAGCTTAACATGTGGTATTTAGATTAGTGGCCTATCAAAGTGATCAAGTCTTCAATACCGTTAGTATTAAGAACCTACTTCCATTGGTCTATACAAAAACAAATGCCAACAATAACATTTTGTTAGCTTTAAATGTGTTTTATGAATTTATTTCAATTTTTCGCCATCAATTTCTTCGTCTGTTGTAACATTTAAGATTTTTCCTCCACACCGTGTTGTTTTTATAAAAGGACGTAACACCACTACTAACCGTGTTTTGAAATAAGCCCCGCCTACTAACCCAACATGGAATTTACACGGTCTCCACGCGGTTGCTTTTAACCAATCATATTCCTAGAAATGTATAGGAGGTAAGGTAAAAGTAATTACCTGGGCAATTGGAAACAAACCTTTATCTGGGCAATTGGATACAAGCATTTATTTTGGCAATCGAAAAACAAGCACTGATCTACTTACCCCCCTCCCTGAGCACCTAAAATCAACACCAGATGTTGGTGGGACTCGGTCTTCAATTTCTATGTTGTGTTTTGTGTACTGTTGTTTGTCTTTTCGTCGTTTTTGTTTTTGTTTTTTGCCATTGAAAATATAATTTGAATATTATTTTGGAATAGTTCGCCTCTCTTTTATCAAGTGTTAGTCACTAATGAATGAAAAAAACTTTTAAGCTATGTTTGGGTTGATTGGAGTTGGTTCGATATAAGGACTTGAATATTCTAGTTTATGGATAAATTATTTGTTAGGGGGAAATTTTAGCAATTCATTTTCATGACATGAGATTTTTATTTTGAACCCTACTCAGAAGATCCAACTTAGATGCGCTTTAAATTTTAAATGAATAGAAGGTTTATTCGTAGATGGAAACTCCAGTATGCCTACTTCATGTATTTACAAAAGAAACATGGTAAACATATTGTTTTGAATTTTTTCAAAAGGCTTTTAAGATAAACCAGGTGT